AAAAAAAAAGTTTCTCAAAAATGACTAAAAATGCACTCATTTGCCTTAAAATACTTAGCTGTGTCCATTTCTGTTGTTAAAATTCAGAAAAAATAGACTTTTTTGAAGTGTCATCTTTTGATCACACTATACCAATAAGTTAATAAGTTAAACATTATAATAATAATTTTCTGAAAGTCTTTAAAAATAAAATGGTGTTTTTTCAAACATTTCTTGAAATGCCCAAATTTGATGAGAAACATGTAGGAAAACATAAAATCTTACAAAATAATCTTAAAAACATTTTTGTCACTTCACTAGAATTTAACTGAAATATTATACAAATTACAGATTATGATAAAAAAAATTGAAATAAAAAATTTAAAAAAAAATTAAAAAGACATGCAGTAAAAGATAAAATCTGAAAAAAGAATTTTATAAAACTTTTCGTCAATTTACTAGCATTAGACCTAAACAAAAGTTCTGATTCCGACAAAAAAGAAATTCTGAAAAATTTTCAAAATGCTGTATTTTGATAAGAAACTTGCAGAAAAGACAAAGTTATGAAAACAAAACATTATCAAAGTTTTTCACCATCTGATCACAACGTGAAACATTTCAAAAACATTTTTACCTTTTCAGAATGTTGTTTAAAAGTTGTAATTGTACAAGGAAAAAAAAAAAAGAGACTTAACGACTGTTGTTGATGTTAGTTCCTGGGAGGGGATGATGGAATTTAAACCACAAGACACTTTGGTTAAAAGAAAAATCTTTGTTCCTCCAGGATGTTTGGGTTCGTGGCTCGAAAACAGGGAAGCACAACCGACAACGTCAGTCACCTCTTCACTGAGCTGGACCCGCAGCAGCCGGCCAGCGCCATCGTCAACTTCGTGTCAAAGTTGATTTCCTCACAGAAGCAGTGAGTACAAGGAAGGTGAGGTGAGGTGAGGTGAGGTGAGGTCAGTCCATCCAGCCTGGACCTAGACCTTCAGCCCAACGCCCCCTGCTGTCACCTTTTGTTTTTAAAGCACAGATGTGTTTAAGTCGCGTCTACATTTCAATGTGTTTTCCTGCTTTGTGTGTGCGTTCGAATGTGTGCATGTACATACGTGTGTATGTGTGTGTGTGTGTGTGGCTTGCATGGTTGGGTTTTTCTTCTCGGGTGGACTCCAGAATGTACCGTAGGAAGTGCAGGAAGGGACGTAGCAGAGTGACGGTGGGCGGGAGGAGAGTGGCTTCTCCCTGGAAGGGCAGCTTGTAGACAAAAAGGTGGAAAAAGAAAAAATGTGTGCATTTTTTTTTTTTACTGGCAACTGTATATTTGTCTTTTAGTATAGAAGGTGTAAAGGTTGCGAGGTCTGTGGGGGGGCGGGGGGGGTCGTAGGTCTGTATGGGTCTGCCTGGTTAACCAAAGATGTGGAAGGTAGAGAGTTCTTTTGTAAGACAAATATAAATATGGCTGAACTTTTTTTAAAACTAAAGCTCAAAAACACATTTGCAGCTGGTGTAAATATTATGGGCTGCTTTACAGGACTTATTTTTAGTAATGCAGAGCTTTAAAAAAAAAAAAAAAGATTTAGAAAAAAAAAACAGCCTTAAGTTTTTTTTAATGCAGAGTCAGGTGTTGAACTACAGTTGTTTCCATTGTAGCCTCGTCTCTAAAAACTTCTCTCCTTTAAGTAGGGATGTCCGATATTATCGTCTGACCGATATCATTGACCAGGTATTAGCATAATTGTGTAACATATGGCAGCGTTGCAGCCCATTTTATTAATCTATTTTAATAATCAGGTGATTCTGTCCCCTGGGGGGGGGCATGTCAGAAAATACTTAAGAAACACTGCCTTAACCCATCACCTTAGTGAGCAGGCAGCACTTCACCTCTTTAACCACCAGGGCACCACTGCCCTACTATATTGTTATGTTTCATATAGGAATCAGAAATTAAGTGTTTGGACGATATCGGCAGAAAGTTAATATCGGACATCCCTACATTTAACCCTTTAATCAATGATGAAAAACATCTGTTTTTTGATTGTTTTCCATGTCTTTGTGAGAAGGTCAAGAGGTCACCGTCGTTTCACTGAGATACTTCTTTGCCGTTTAGGACCAAGCTTGTGTCGCACTGCCCTGTGATTGGTCCAGGCTCTCTCTCTCACACACACACACACAGAGTGTGTGTGTGAGACAGGCTGGTTTATGAGGGTGGTCTTCACAGGTGGGCGTCGCCCGCTCCGCTGCTGCCGGGCGTTCGCTGGTTGGAAAGAAAAGAAAGTTAGCCTGTGTCACCTGACCAGAACTATTAGCGCTCACACCAACGCTGCCCAAAACGTAAGCTATAACATATAAGTGAACATATAATGACATATAAACGCGCAGTGATTTGAGGTATTTATTACTATTTGTTTCTCTTTTGCTCCATGTTATCTTGTGTGTACATGTACTATACGTCGAGTATACGTTAGGATTACTGAATACTAGAAGGAACTTTGCTTTGACTTTTGGCCGAGGTCGAGACGTCGACGTGTTTGAGGTCTGAAGAGTTTGTTTAAAAAAAAAAAGAAAGTGTATCACTGTTTATAAGAATGTGTTTTTTAAGTCACATTTTTTTTTATTTTGTTAATGTTTG